TTCAATAAAATGTTCAATGTTCAATAAAATGTTCAATGTTCAATAAAACAAATCTGTGTAGAGATGGACACAGACTATTTAGTTGAAACGAACCTGGTATTTCATGCTACATTCAGACCGTTGTCAATAAATTAATCCATCTTATTTTCAGTACAAAGTAATTTTGCAAAGTAAATTTTTCAGTAAAAACACACACACACCCCTCCTTTGTATAGTAAGCCATCCTGCATTGCAAGGAAACCAACAACTTAAGAGTGACATGAAAATCTAAATTTAACACAATTCCACTTTATTAAAGGGATTTGCAGATGGTCAATCATAGGAATTGAGCACATCTTCAGATTAGGATGAGTTGTTTTTTTCCCCCCAGAAGTCATTGCATTGGCAGAACATCTGTAATCTCAGAGGATTGTCCTGATGGATTTAGCTCTTTCTCTGGGACTCATCCAGCTGTTGTTTATGCCATAATTCTTTTGCAAGTTTCAAGCCATTCCTAAAGACCTCAGTGTCCCTATTTTCTATTCTGGCAGCCTGAAGTTTCCTGTTGCTTCTATTTTTAGATTTCTAGGTAGTCCAGTTTTTTCCACGCAGTTACTTTTATTTGTATTTTTGCGACTTCTCGCTGTTGTCCATTTATCTGCCTCCTGTTTCGCATTCATCATCCTTCATCCTCTAAAACAGGGGTGTCAAACACAAGGCCCGCAGGCTGGATCTGGCCCATGTGACTATCCTGGAAAATGTAAGGGGCCGGCTTGCGTTGCATGCCAGCAATTTGGGGAATGGTGTCAAGCTGGCCACTCCCACCTAGTTTGTTAGAATATTCATGACTGGGAGAGACATGGTAACAAGTCAGCCAATGAATAAGCATAGCAACTAAGTCAGCCAGTGGGAGCTGAGACACATTAAAGCCTGGGCGTGGTTTAGCCCTACAGCTCTGTGCTGTGCTGAGAATTGAAACTGAAACTAGTCTTGTCTGTATTAAGCACTGTGCTGGAAACAAAGCTACTCTGTCTGCTCTGAACTCTGAGAACAAACTATTCTCTCCTACTTGTGTTCTGCTTGTAACTTCTACCACGTTGAAATAATCTACTATTGGTATTGTACATTTATTCATCTGTTATTATGTATATAAAGAAGTTAATGAATCCAGCTAAATCAGTTATTTGTGTGTGCTTTCTGGATTTGATTTTTCTGCAACAAACTCTAACACAGTTTGCCACGCCCACCCAGTCAACCATGCCCAGCAAGTGGAGCTGGCAACGCTCACCCAGTTGGCCACACCCACCCAGTCAGCCAAACCACCCCCCAAGGTCAACCACAGCCCTGATACAGCCCTCAATGAAATTGAGTTTGACACCCCTGCTTTAAATCACCAGCCCTGCATTTAAATTGCACTAAAAGTCATTGATGTATATAATCACTAAATAAATGTATCACAGCAATATGGTTTGTGAGTGCAAGAATTAAGATAAACTGTAAAATTCACTAATAACTACAGTGAGCCATTGACTTACGACCACAATTGAACCCAAAATTTGGGCATTGGCATTGGTTAAGCGAGTTTTGCCCCGTATTACGACTTTTCTAGACACGTTTGTTAAGGGAATCACTACAGTTGTTAAATTAGTAAGTGAAACTGGCTTCCCCCGCTGACTTTGCTTGTCAGAAGGTAACAAAAAGGAGGTCACATCACCCCCGGGACACTGCAACCGTCATAAATACAAGTCAGCAGTTGCCAAGCATCCAAATGTAAATCACATGACCCTGGGGACGCTACCATGGTCATAAGTGCAAAAAATGGTCATGTCACTTTTTAAAGTTGTAACTTTGAAAGGCCACTAATTGAACTCGTTGTAAGTCGAGGACTACCTGTATGGTATGGAAGATTCACCAATTGCCCTCTTGTATTTTCTTTGCCTCCTATAAACATTTAACGTGAATCTTACTGTATTTTTTGCTCCATAAGACACCCTTTGTTGTCTCCCAAAGGTGGGTGGAAATGTTTGTGCGTCTTATGGAGTGAATATTGCCACAGCCCCGCCCATGCCAACCCCTACCCTTTGGCCATTTTTGGCCTCCGTTCATCCTGATTTCAGCCTCCGCCCCCTCCCCTTTTCAGCTTCCACTCATCCCATTTTTGGCCTCTGCGCTTCCTGTTTTTGAC